AAACTGCATTACTTCATAAGGTAGACTACTAATGAACCAAACAACTTTAGACGTTGTACTTAGTAATAATGAGAGTAAACGAGCAGCTTTACCTCTCGTGCGTTCTCTGAGACGGTTTAGGTCCTTCTCCTGTTTGTTCGGTTACTCTCTTGTCAGAATATTATACAATATGATGTTAATTAAGTTCATACGTTGTCGTCCTGCTCGTGTCATTGATGAAATAAAGGTATCTTGTTCCATACCGCAGTGAGTTTAACCGACTCCAGCGTCGTGTGTGTTTGGTGCAGCTGTAGTGACTAATGAGAGGAGGCGGAGCGCTCATTCACACACACTGAATCAATGACACTTTAACATAAATTATTTGGTGAACTACTGTTTATTAATCTGTTTACTATTTACATTTAATTTAAATCGTACACGTACAGCGACAGGTATTACCTGAAAATGATTTGCATATTCCAGTATTACGTGACATCTTCTTGACCAATCCAATTGTGTGTGTTTGGTGCAGCTGTAGTGACTAACGAGAGGAGGCGGAGCGCTCATTCACACACACTGAATCAATGACACTTTAACATAAATTATTTGGTGAACTACTGTTTATTAATCTGTTTACTATTTACATTTAATTTAAATCGTACACGTACAGCGACAGGTATTACCTGAAAATGATTTGCATATTCCAGTATTACGTGACATCTTCTTGACCAATCCAATTTGCATGTTCTGCTGCTACTGACTGTCACAATGACCAATCACCATATGTTTGACTATTTTCAGTGAAAAACTTAAGCTTAAAAACAATGCAGATATAAAAGATATATATAAACATAGACATGACAGCCATAAAATATGGGTCAAAGGTAATCATCCATTATGGTTTGGATGTCACATCACATCCTGCATGGTTAAAAAGGGACATCATATATCAAAAAAGTTAACATAAACACATATATATATAAAAACTAGATTCATAATTTGAACAATTGCTATGAACAACATGTTTACATATTTGCAAACACCATATAAGAGAGCAACACAAAGAAGAACGAAAGGAAAATGGTTTGCAGCCAAACGGTTTCATTTTAGACTAATAAAATCTCTTGAATTTTGCTGTCAGATTTTAGGTGTAGCACTCATCTCCAGCTTCCTGTCCCTCGGGGCGACAGTACAACCAGATAAATTACATACCTGTTACTTGAAGCTCATTCTTTACTGCTGAGTTTACACTCTCCTACTGTAGAATTACGCATTAGTGAGATTATTAGAAACAGACGTGTATATTGTCCAGAAGATCACATAAATACATCGCAGTGTAGTTGCAAATAAACTTGACATTTGCATTGCCTCATTATTCTTTACACTGATCTAAAAGAGTGCTTCAGCTTGGTCCAGTTTGCATTTCTAGGATAACAAACTTTAAATGTCTAAAGAGCGCTCTAGAAGGAAAAGGTCATTTATCAACAAACTTAAGCTAGACCAATGCGTTTAAAGAAAACCAGTGACACAAGTATTTGCTTTTTTTTTTTTTCCAATGTTGGAAGGTGCCCTGAATTCCAGCCTCTATTTTTGTCGTAAAACATAAACACAAATAACAAACATGATATGTCATCATACATGAGTCATGTCAGAAGAAGGATTCCCCTTTAACTGACCTATAATCTCCTGAAACACTACAAACATGTTTAACAGTAGCCTACCATTAAGGTACGGTCACAGACATGGTTGAAATCCAGATCTTTCAGAAAGAATCCACGCGACTGACTTCATATATTGGTACACTATTGACAATGGGCCCTTTTTTGCCAGTAAAATGTCACTGAAATTTCACAAATGTGACTGAAACTTTTGGCCACTTTTACCCTTGTTCTGTATTTTTATGGGCAAAATCCATTAATTTCAATAGGATTCCACTCGATTGGGGTTTTTGCAAGAGAGTGAAAGATTTCGCAACAGGTTCAAGTTGTTGATTCAAATTTGAAATTGACTTCTATGTGAACTGTGCTTCATATATTGGTACACTGTTGACAATGGAGCCTTTTTTTGCCAGTTAAATGTCACTGAAATTTCATAAATGTGACTGAAACTTTTGGCCACTTTTACCCTTGTTCTGAATTTTTATGGGCAAAATCCAGTCATTTCAAAAGGATTCCACCCGATTGGGATTTTTGCGCGAGAGTGAAGATTTCGTAAGGTTCAAGTTGGTGATGCAAATTGGGCACCTTGACCAAAAAAAAGCTGCTTGGTTTGAAAATGACTTCTTTGGGAACTGCGTTTCATTCATTGCTAAACTATTGACAATAGACAATGGGACCCATTTTTGTCCACAAAATTTCACCAAAATTTTGCAAACGTACCCAAACCTTTACTTTTAAAGTGTGGTCACATTTAACCATGTTTGGTAAATTGTCATGGGCAAAATCCAGTTATTTCAATAGGATTCCATGTGATTAGGATTTTTGCGCAAGTGTGAAAGATTTCGCAACAGATTCAAGTTTGTGATGCAAATTTGGTGCATTGACCAACAAAAAAGCTGCTTGGATTGAAAACGACTTCTTTATGAGCTACGCTTCACAGCCTACATTGCTACACTATTGACCCATTTTTTTGGACACGAAATTTCACAAAAATTTCGCGAATGTGACCATACCTTTACTCTTAAAATGCGGTCACATTCACCCTTGTTTGGCGAATTTTCATGGGCAAAATTCAGTGGGATTCCACACGATTGGGATTTTTGCATGAAGTTGAAAAAAAAAAAATTCAACAGGTTCAAGTTAGTCTCACAAATTTGGTGCATTGACCAACAGAAAGCTGCTTGGTTTCAAAGTAACTTCTTTGTGAAATGCGCTTCATTCATTTCTACGCTTTTGACAAAAGGCAATGGACCCATTTTTAGGCTGTGAAATTTTACGGAAAGTTTGCAAATGTTTTTTTGTGAAAACATTTTATTCTTGTTTGGCAAATTTTCATGTGCAAAATACAGTAATCTGAATAGGATTTTTGCGCTAAGACGACAGATTTTGACCAAAAAAAAAAAAAAAAGCTTTTGGTTTGAAAAATGGTTCGTACATTCGCTACACACCTGGGAGACAGGCCCACAAAATCTCACTAATGTGACTGCGCATTTAATCTTACTGTCTAACTTGTAAATCTTCTGAAATGTCCATGTGGAAAGTTACTGTATTGATGCCAGGATGGTTGCTAAGGTGTTCTGGGTAGTTATTAGGACACTGCTAAGCTGTTGCATGGAAGTTAAGTGGTTACATACAGTTAAAAAACAAAACAGTTGGTTTCCAGATATGGTTCATGCACTTCCTTGAAGGTAAGTTTAACTCAGTTTAAAGAGTTTAAATGTAGGTTAGTAACTTGTTTGCTTGCACCATCTTAAAATCTGTATCCATTCAAGCCTATAATTCCAGTTTCAATGTAAAAACCCACATAATAGCTCTTGCACATCATTAGTCCTGACAGCTGCAATCTAGTCTCATATTGTGCTGCATGTGCGAGAGTGTGTTCATGCATGTGGTTATACGTGTGCTCAGACGTCTGGAGGTGTTCACCGGTATGTGTCTGTACACATCCACATTTGACAAGAGGTTTGAAGTTATGTATGTTACATAGTTACATAGTACCTTGCTTAAAAAAACAAACCAATAAAACTAAATGTCATTTACAGTTATGGTATCTATGAAATGTCACATTTCACAGGTCTTTGTAAAAGACTTTAAAAGGAAATTCTTCAAAATCTCACATTTTTGCCACGCCTTCTTTCTTTGCGTGCACATTTGGGCGAATATTTCCACATAGTGAGGTAGATATGTGGGGGCGTGTTAGAACGAGCCGTTTTAGGGGGGCGTGGCAGAGTCTTAACTTTGATAAAGAATATCTCTTTGGTTTTGAGACTTTAGTCTTTGCAACTTCAGGGATCTTATCTATGCACAATCAGCTTGTAACACTCCGAAGAGAAAGGAAAACTTGAAATCGCATCATATGACCCCTTTAAAGAAAAATCAGCTAAATCTAGACCAGTTAGACCAGCAAATAAATCTGATTTCTGTTTATTTGGGTTGGTCTTGCTCTTTATTTGGCCACTGGTCGGCTCATTTTTAGGTCAGTCTTCATAAACAATGGGTTGCATCAACAAATTTTGACAGCATTAATCAACAGATCAATCCTCTACAGAACACTGACAGGACGCCCATGAATTATGCCATTTTAAACACTCGACAACAAATAGTTTCCAGTGACCTGAAGGCAAAATCTTCTCCTCTAGTCATTTCCTCTTTGTTTGTTCCAAAAAAAGAGGTTGACGCATACAGTTTCATTTCAACACCTTGTGTCTCGCGTTCTTATGCTTTTAGGAAATTCACTTTTCCTGATGTGGCTCACGGGGCCGTTGACTGTTTTCATACTAAATGAGTGAAACAGTACGCTACAATAATGCGCTCTCGACATTTGTCATTAAAATAACGCCATAAAACAGTTGGATAATTAACTTGAACAGTTTCCATGTCTATGTTCGACAGAGCCAAAGAAGTCATGAGGACTGGAAACAATGGCCTAGGCTGTCTTTATCATGAGAAAATAAACATAAATCACTCTTATCATCATGCCCAGGTTACAAATATTGTCTATAGTTGTCAACGCAATGCAGTGTTTTGAAAATAACTATGAGGAGTTTCCATATGGCAGCATTATTTATTAGTAAGTTTGTCTTGAGAATTGAGACCATGACCTTATCAAGCTATTGAGTTTTTCATCTTAAATCGAAAAGGTTTTGACCAAAATGTACAATCTAGTGGGTGAAAAACACAGGCTTTGCCATCTGGGCCTGCACTTTATTGTCTGCATTTGTTCAATGGCATTAACATTAAATCTAGAGTCAATAAAGTCATATATATAATGAAGATTCAACTTTTATATTGAGCGCCGTTCTGAGTAAAATCCTGCACCATCCTTACCTACTTCTTCATGAATTGTTAAGTTTGAAATAGATCTCGGGTATCAAATTGCACAATATGTTTAAGCAGAAGGAGACATCTGGTGGTTGTAAGAAGATCATGCATCCAAATATTTTGCAGTCTTTATGATTTGATAAATGAAATGATAATTTGAACGACTCGCATATAAACAAATGAGATGTCAGAACACAGCTACATATTTCGTACTGTCACACACACAAACAAAACGGCAGCCACATTTTTTTTTTTTTTTAAATCACCACGTTGTTTTATTAGAGAAGGGGAATGCTGATAATTAAGTTGCATTTAGTAGTTTAACAAAGAAATATTAAATTCAACAATCTGAAATAGAATGTTGTCAAAATGAAGTGTGCTAAACAAGTTTATTATACTGCAATGACAAGCCTGGAACAAGGAAACAATTTGGTGCTAGAGCAGAGAATAAATTAGCTTGCTTGTCCATGGATAAGACATAAAGAATAAATGTTTTATTTTTGCATTGATATGATTCTGAATAGCAGATGAGATCACAAAGGGATACATAAGGAGTGTGTGTTGTATTAGGGCAGCCCAATTTTTTTTTTTTTTAAATCACCACGTTGTTTTATTAGAGAAGGGGAATGCTGATAATTAAGTTGCATTTAGTAGTTTAACAAAGAAATATTAAATTCAACAATCTGAAATAGAATGTTGTCAAAATGAAGTGTGCTAAACAAGTTTATTATACTGCAATGACAAGCCTGGAACAAGGAAACAATTTGGTGCTAGAGCAGAGAATAAATTAGCTTGCTTGTCCATGGATAAGACATAAAGAATAAATGTTTTATTTTTGCATTGATATGATTCTGAATAGCAGATGAGATCACAAAGGGATACATAAGGAGTGTGTGTTGTATTAGGAAATAATGCATCTGCTACATATTCAGTAGCAAACATACCGGTGTGTATAAATCAATGTGTGAAATGAGTTGGTAGTGTTGTCATGCCATATAATCAAGTCAAGTTGGCCATTAAAAAAAAAAAAGGTATAAGTCAAGGTACATGGCAAGTAATGTTTAGTGATTAATGTTAAGTAAGATGATAAAATGATAAACACAGGTCTACCTAATGTCCATGTGGTTGGAGGAACCAATGCTGGTAAAGGCTCCATGCAAATGGATAATCAAAAAAAAAAAATCATGTTTAACAACCTCACTTAAACCTTCCTGAAATACATCCATACAAAACAAGTGTGCATTTAAAATAAAATGTGTTCAAAAAGGGTTTACTCGTTTGGAATACGGACTGGAAAATTTACCAACATATCTTCAATGAGATTCAATGAGATGTACAGCTTGATTGTGTTATAACATGTAAAACCTGTGCTTTTTGTGAAACTGAAATTCGATAATCTGTTGTAAAAAAAAAAGTTGATTATTTAAAGAATTCCACTGAGTAACAGCACAGGTACAACCAACTTTACACAGCAGCTGCATGCTACAAACTACCAGCCATATTATTGAATTATTGAACAGATTTGTGATTCAGTAACTACTTGCATAATTTGCACTGGGCATCACAGACAGACATTTATCAGATGAATTTGGGTAAACTGAGCCACTTTAACTGTCCCAATTTACTTAAATTCACCCTTTGTTACAGACTTCTCTGCTAATGACAGTAAAACAGTGTTGTAATATTCTGCTTGCCACATCCAAGGCAGCTTTCATAATTTTCATCAAGCTCTGGTTTCAGTTGGTCTTATCAGTTATTAATCTGTTACCTTGATGAACTGAAAATATGAGATCTACTTGCTGGTCAGTGCAACAGATTTTGAGAACGCACATACCCCCTAAAATTCCCTTTCAACTTAAGATTAAATACCTGCATTTTATATATAACCTCAAAAAACAAGCTTTACAAACAAGGTTTTTACTTTCACTTGAACACTGTAGTGATGCACTGAAATGTTCTGTCCAACAGTGATTAAATTCACTGTTAGTTGTTTGTACTATACATATCTAACCTACACAAATCTTTGTTCTTAAAAAATATATTCACAATCAAGGAATAAAGTGTCCTCTAAAGTATGCTTATGTCTGAAAAGCATAAAAAAATAGATGATAATTGATCAGTAACTGAGTTTGTCCATATGAAAAAGACACTCCATAACCCTCTATTTAAATATCTCAGTGTGCTAACCAAAGAAACAAACAAACAAAAAATCTCTCTTTGCACATTTAAGCTTTGTTATATTAGTCACATCGGCAGTTAATGGTTATTTTACGGACAAAAAATGTACAAACAAAAGCAATAGTAAATTCTTCAGTCAGTCTTTGATCAGTACAAATGCCTGAAAATGGCAACCCTTGTGTGGTAAGGCTTGCCAGACAAACGAACGAACAAACAAACAAACAAAAAAGAACGCAAAAACATTAAACCAGGGCTGTCCAAACTCGGTCCTGGAGGGCCGGTGTCCTGCAGAGTTTAGCTCCAACTTGCCTCAACACACCTGACTGGAAGTTTCTATGCCTAGTAAGAGCTTGATTAGCTGCTTCAGGTGAGTTTAATTAGGGTTGGAGTTAAACTCTGCAGGACACCGGCCCTCCAGGACCGAGTTTGGACAGCCCTGTATTAAACCAACACAAAACTGCTTGCTAGCCATCACTCATACAGTGTATCCCTCTATCTCAGTCCCTCTTAGAGCAGCATGGACTCCTGCATTGCAAAGGCATCCTGCGTCTGCCTGTAGTGCGTTCCTCCAAACAGCGGGGGGAGCTGTTGTCTGCCGGAGTGCTCTTGGTAGGGCCCTCTGAAATGGAGCACAGCGTCCGAGATATTTGCAGGAGCAAAGTTAAACTCCTGAACGGGGTGAATGGGAGAGAGCTGAGCTTTCTGGAAGCTGGGAGATCGAGGTAGGCCCACAGGAGATCGCGGAGGCCCCGCCTCCATGTCCCCATACCAGCCCTCTCTCCGTCTGTGCATCTCATAACGCAGTTCTGTGGGCGGGTAAGCAGGAGAGCCCATCAGTCGGGTGGGTTGTCGCATGTAATACCCGCCCTCGCCAACACTGTCTATCTGGGACAAAAGCTCGGCAGGAGCAATCCTGAGAGGGGGCATGTTTGGGGGTGGCCGTCGGTAGGTTAAGTAGCTGTTGTTCATCAGTGTTTTCTCTGGCGAAGGGTTAGATGAGCCACGTCCCGTAGTTGCGTAAATTTGCTCAGTGTACGGCTGGCCGTATAGTCTGTCCTCGGACCGAGAATCTGAAACGTAGGTAGAGTAGACAGGAGTCATGCCGGGTGGGTAGTGCAAAGGTGCACGGGGTTCTGGTTTGCTCTGTTTAGGCATTCTAAAGGGAGAGACGCCAGTTCCATCACTAGGGGGACGGGTGGGACTGCCCTGTCTCAAAGAAGGTCCGACATATGGTCGGGAGGGGGGGCGAGAGGGCGGTTTCTCAAGCTCTATAATCTCCATAACCTCTCCATCTGGTCCTGGGACATTGTCGTATTGCGAGGCGTTGGATGCGCGGTTGGAGCCCGGAACAAATGCTCGTGAACGGGGTTGGCGCTGTGCCCCGGTGGCCTCCTCTGGATTTGGGGAGCTGGGCGAGGGTGGAGCACCCATAGTTAGACTCAACTGGCTTTCCCGAAGTGCTGCAGCCTTGACTGCTTCCAGTTTGCCCTCCGAAGGCTTGACCCAACGAGGTCCAATGTCCCTGCGCATGCTGGATCTAGCATTGGAGTTGTGATTCGCCTGGCTCTGGGTCAGCACCTTCCCACCAGCTGTTGCTCTGCTGTGGGTTGGGACCCGTTCCTTTTGAGTGTCCACACCTCGTCCATCCCTCTCCCTTTTGTCTGGATGAGGCACCTTGTCCAGGGAGCTGGGTGGCCGACTTTCTTGGTACTTCTCTGGTGTTCCATCAGTGACGGGACCAGACTCTGCTTGTTTACTGACGCTTGCGGCAGGGCTCGAACCACGAGGGGGAAGTCCCTCAACTGTCTTCCCGACCGGCTGCCCATTAGCCACATGATTCGCAAATCCTGGAGGCTCAGGAGGAAGTTGACCTAATGGTTTCTTAGGAAACTCATCCTCCTTACCTGCACAAGTGATAGAGGAACAACCAATTAGTGCTAACATTTGGACAGAAATGCCAAGTATTAAAGACCCCATGAAACTGAAACTTTATACGAACTTTATCTGCATTCAAAATTTGCAATCTCTCTTTTCATTTGAAACAGATCAAAACATTGATGACTCCTCTTGCACATACAAATTTCTGACCAATAGCTCTCTTCCGGAAAACCGCATTTCATGGAGTCTTTAAACCAGGGGTTTTCAAACTCGGTGCTGAAGGGACAGTGTCCTGCAGATTTTGGCTCCAACCCTAATTAAACACACCTGAACCAGCTAATCAAGGCCTGTTTCCGAAATCGCCCCCAAATAGGGCACTATCAAGGGCACTATTTTAGGGGACAGCCGTTTGTAGTGGTGTCCGAAACCATAGTGGACGTTCTTGAGTGCACTCATTCAATCCCACAATGCACCGCAAAAGCGAGTGTACAACCATTGCATGCTCAATGGCTAGAGAATACCCATAATGCACTGTGAGAGTCGAGTGCCGAATAAATTGCCGCACCTCGCCAGAAGATGGCGCCTGCAGCAGAATCATCCATTCATTTTACATAGGACTCATCCACGGCATAATACAGTGTAATTAATACAGGAATAAATTAATTGTAAATTGATTATTGAATTGGGTTTTTAAATTAACTAGGGTTTATACTGTACATGATTTCCATGACAGAGTTCAAGATAAATCGTTTAATCTTCCTACTGGAGCTGCCAGTTTCCCAGTTTAAATTATTATTAAACAGCGAGCACAAACTATGCAGAAGCAGCAGTCCTTCCGGTGCACTCAATCTGTATTGTTAAAAGCGCTATATAAATAAAGGTGACTTGACTTGACTCAGTGTCTGAATTCACTCGCTCATTTTCATTTACTCCTTCAAGTAAGCTAAATTAGTGACCTATAGGGAATAGTGAATGAGGGTATAGGGGGCAATTTCGGATACAGCCAAGGTACTAGGCATGCTAGAAACTTATAGGCAGGTGTGTTGAGGGAAATTGTAGCTAAACTCTGCAGGACACTGGCCCTCCAGGACCGAGTTTGGAGACCCCTGCTTTAAACCATCAGAATATAAACAAACACTGAAGTGCAAGACTCGTGCAGCTGAATGTCTTTTAGAAGAACCAAACTGCCAAATAAAACAAGAGTTACAGTCGACACTTCGTTCAAATAAAATCAAACCACAAACATCCACGGCTGGTGTCAAATCAAAGCTCAGATTGGGAACACTGAGGAGTCAAAAAGCTAAAAATATAAATGAAAATATTATCACAACACTTACAGTTCAAGACTGACTGTGAACACATAAACCACGTGGAGAAAAAATGTGTTAGGTAACATTTTGGAACACACAGCATGTGCACAATATTCACGTTCGCAGTGAAGGAAACTGAAGAAAACGTCAAGGGAATGATGAACGTTTACAAACAGATACTGATGGTTAGAGCGGATATTGGTGTGCATTGAGAAGGGGCTTGAGGAACGCAAACGTCAAAGACACACAAACCCGTGAACACTTCCAAAGGTGCTGGTTTTCATATGTTGGGTCCAAAATTAAGATTTGCCAAGCTGACCAAATGAATGGCATGTACGGTTTAAATCAAGACTCGTTGTTCATGGTTTCTCATGCAAATCGAACAGAAGACTTGACTCAGAATTGATTTCAATATTTAGCATGTTGCTAAGCTAATGATACAATACTCTATCATACAAAAATACCCATGTTAAAAATATTTTTATTGCTCATTTTTGGCAGTGAATTAAATCTAAGTGCATTTATTATCAGCTTTTCTGTCAGCTTAGATTATTTTTATATCACAAGTTTGTCACATACTGGGACTTTTTTCATGAAGGACACATGCCTGGCCAACATTAGGTATCTTTGGAAACAATTATTATTATTATTATTAACAGTCTTTGTGTTGGGAGAGCAACTATGACGATGTAGTAGGCCTGGGCGATAAAACGGTATCGATGGTACACCTTCTTCGATAACGATATAAAAAATGTTCGATATAGTGCACGATATAGGCACGTGCTATGAGTGACGCAGACAGCACACACAAACACGAACATGAGTGCTGTGCCTGCCTGTGATGAGGAGATTGTGAGTAAAGAATTAATATTAGTCGAATTTAAAATAAACAGTTGCATTTGAATGCAAAAATAGTACAATCCAACATTAGATGTGCAGCGTCATCAGTGGAGCACGATATGCGGTGATGATGATGTAAGTGACGTTGTAGTTTAATGTTTTGTTAGTCTAGCCCACGAGACGCGCAGTTGCTGCGTTATTCATTCAAAATATTAGAGAAACATAGAAGCTCAATGCGGGAAAGATCTTGATTAGGTTAAAACCGAAACCAAGCCATTCACACAAAAACCGAAACCAAGCAATTCACACAGAACGCATATTCAGCGCATTTTTTAGATGGATAAATATGACTGCTGCACTTGCGTCTCACACAAGGGATGTATAGAAAGCCATGCAAAGTTAAAACAGTTTCAACTTTTAGAAAACACGTCACACATTTGTGTGGAGGTTTTTTCCTTTTCACTGCGTCTCATATGTTTTTATAAGGCAATTTGTGTGATGGGCGATTCGGCTCTTTGTATTAAGCAATGCATAAATACGTGATGCTGTTTTGTTCATAATTGGTTATGCAATTTACAAAATTATATTTGATTTATATGAGTTCTTTTAGACTTAATGCACTTTTTTTTTTTATAGACAGTTACTTAAGTTGACAATTCAATGTGCTGCATTATTTTGCTCATTGCGCCCTCCTGTGGCCTCGGGAGACAAGCCAAAAGTTTAACCTATTTAATCTGCATATAAAACATTAGAAATTAGATATTTGTTTAATTTTTATTTTGTTTTTGACTGTTAAAACAAAAAAATATTTGTTGTTTGTCTCAATAAATTGAGTTAATTTAAAAATACAGTGGTTAAATGTAAAAAAAAAAATCTATTGCTCTTTGTTTTAAAAAAGGTTATAAAAAAATGTCAATAATTATCAATACCGAACGATATGAAACATTATATCGTTGATACATTTTTTAGCTATATTGCCCAGCCCCTATATATATATATATATATATATAAAAAAAAAAAAAAAGTTTCAAGGGCAATAAGAAATATCTATGGGTTCTCGATTCTCATCATCTACTTAATTAATTTGCCACTGGCAGATGTGGCAAAAAGTTAATTTTGGACACTTTTATCTACTGACAAGTGTGTTTTTTATTTGCTTAAGTTAAATGTATCCATTATAACTGTCCTTTTACATGTTTCTAACATACAGTATCCCACAGCACATTTTTGTGACATTCCCGAAACAAACATTTGAAATAAATGAACCCCCCCCAAAATCCAGGTTTTGTGAAAGACAGAGAAACAAACGAGGGGAAAGGGACGTGTGTGTAGTGGGGGTACACGAACGAATGGTTGGTTGATTGACAGATAAAGTAGTCAGTGCGTTTTTGCCCACCGGTTGGTTTTGTAGGAGGGTTGGCGCCCCCCTTTCCCAGACCCACTAGTGTAAGCAGGGGCTATGTTTGAAGCGAAAGGGAGAGAATGCAGATTAGACAAACAGTACATAGCAGCAGTGAATGAGTGTCTCTGTGTGTGTGTGTTTGTGCATGAGATAAAGGAACAGAGTCAGAGATTACCAGGAGACGGTGTGTGCAGTAGGATGTGTCCCTCTATGGGTGGTGACACACAGCCCATTTTATGATTTCAGTGCATGTGTGTGTTTAAAGTACCTGGAAGTGGCAGATCCAGTTTAGATCGTCTGAGTTCAGACATGGAGTGTTGAAGCTGCTCTATCACAAAGTCATCCTCAAAAAAGAAATCCTTTGACAGAGTCACCTGCAGAAACTTTACAAGCTCCTCCATGGACAACTTCAAGAGGGTTTCTAACACACAAACACACATAGAGCGATGAGCATACAAGTAGTTACAACTAGAATGGGAAACTCAAAGTCTCTGAATTCTAAGAAGAATCATACACTAATTATAGCTAATTACAATTATTATAGTCTATCCTGATCAAGTCCTTTCAGGGTTTATTTTGCACATTGATCATCCATTTGTATTTATGAATAATCTGTATTTATCTGTATAATATCGGAGTTATTACTTTTGTGGAGTTTGAGGATGGTGTAGGACATTGCAGTCAGAACTCGCTCTCCTTCCAGAATATAGATGTCCCATATTCTCAATGTAAGTGTGAATGGAGTCTATTCAATAAAACACACATTAATGCAGTCAAATTAGTAAGGATTCACAATGAACAACAGATAATAATGCAACATAATAATATGCTTGGATTTACTGAAATAACATTTAAAGAGTGCATACCCGATCCAAGAAACACTGAAAAAACCATTTCATAGTGTACAGGCTGGTGTACACCTCTTGATTATCCTGTAGAGGGCAGCAAAGGGACAGGTATTGTATGGGAATTACATCAAAACACACATAAAAAACACATTTTATTCATTCACACATATATATATACACTATAGGCTACATACTAGTGTACTACATATGCCACATTATGTACTTATTTTAAACTATGTGAAAAAAAAATGCAATTATATATACATATATATGTATATACATTTCCTTATAATCTTATATGTAAAAAAAAAAAAGAGTAACTTTTGGCTTTTGGCAATGCGATCAAATAATTAAGGGGAAAAACATGCTACTTGTTCATCATTCTAAAACTAAGAGCACACTGTGAGCTTTATAGCTATATACTGCAAATGTAGGTCATCCAGGTATCCTATGCATGCAGAAGATTCACATATTGTGCACAGTGTACATACTGCAAAAACAGTGCAAGTACTATGGTTGTACTGCATACTATTTGGAACAAAGCCATATGTTCTCTCTCTCTCTCTCTCTCTCTCTCTCTCTCTCTCTCTCTCTCACACACACACACACTCTCACTTTATTGAGTGAGAGCTTATCGTTAGCTCTTTTATCCTCTTTCTAATCCATTCACATCAAAGACTGTCTCTCTCACACAAATAATTCATTAATTAATCCATCACATTATTTATTAATATTGCCTTTTATTAATTACTCTGCCCTTTAATGAATCCCAGGCTGACATTTCTTTGTGAATTCTTTGTTACATCAGCGCTCAGCGTTGGCCAGCTGCTCGAGTTTATTTGAAAAAAGACACCATTATGCTGACAAATAAAGATTACAGGCCAGAAATTATGGAATATAGGGCAAAAATAAGACTGGATATGAAGCTTTTCAGACATTGTGAAAATTTGAATTTAGGACACGCAGGACAAAATTAATATCAACACTATTAAAAAAGTCTTAGATGCAAGTAATGTGTACCGTGAAGTATTACAAGTGAAGTGGTTTAAAGTTCAGATGTCCCACGTTTTGAATGTAGTACATGATGTTTTGGAGGCGTTTGTGTCTTACTAGATGTTGTTTGAGCTTAGGCATCATCTTCTGCAGGATCCAGTCATGATGCTCCTGGAAGCGCATGAGTTTAGGGAACCCTGGTATAAAGAAACCTAGACAAACACAACATTTTTCAATTTAGAACAAAAATCATATGTGAAGTGCATGTTTGCAATATACAGAACATGAAATGAATGTTTGTAGCTCAGTGGTTTTGCTCATTTTGCTTTGGACATCAAGTGGTGACTCAACACAGTAAATAAAAATGTGAAATACAAATGAATTAATGATACTACGAACTGCATAGCTCATTTCATATATTTATTTAATTAAATAAATCACCATCTCAATTTATAAAAAATGAATAATCATACTAATAAAGCAAGCATTTTCTTTTCCCTTATAAAACTTGCATTTTGCCATTTCTAAATATCTATTATTATTATTATTATTCAGGGTATATACAGGAATCATGGAGTTAAATTTAATACCTTTTACGACCTTTTTTAAGACTCTTTCCATACATTTTAAGATCTCATTGCCAGTCCAAGTTTTAACCGGTTACATCGGCGACACTTTAACTTACATTTACTATATATTGATTGTAAGATAGCACAACTAAACAGACTTACTTTGTGATAACTCCTTATCAATACAACATAATTCAGAAGGGGTAACGAAGCACAAGATAATTAATTGAGTGACTAACCAATGCAACCCAAGAAGCAAGAATTAGACCAATAAACAAAACTGACAAAACTTATTGAGGAGGGAAAATAAAGCTCTCCGAGCTAACGGGACAATGAGTTCACACGGTATATTCAAAAGATGTATTTGTCACATCAACACTTATACCTGTCTGCAAACCATAGCTGTTTTGTGGAACACTTCTCATGACAAACATCTGACTGATCAGACCTGTTTACCTGTGATTACAGAGTGCTTGATTTGATGCAGACTTGACAGAGTGTCAGTACTGCACCTGATCGTGTCTGTATGATTATGGAAGGTAAAATAATGATCACAACTATTACATCATTTTAATTGTACATCCCAAGCCCATGCCAGTAAAAAAACCAGCCCAAAGTAGCGCAATTACCATATCCCAAATATAAAAATGTAATTTCCATCCCTAAAATACATATTTTACAGTCACTTTTATGCACATTTATCATAAACATAGCTCAAATGCTTCCTACTAGTGTGGCCCAAAACATTTGTATTTTATGCAATATTTCAAACCTTTAACCCACTGGGGAAAATCAACCCATGGCAACAGTTTAAAAGCAGCCCAATTCCGTGTGAAAAAAAACAACAACCCTGCATCCAACACCAGCTGCAGAAGTCAGATTTGACTGATCACGGGGTCAAAAGTAAAGAGAGATAGGAAAAAAACAACAACAACCCTGCATCCAACACGAGCTGCAGAAGTCAGATCTGACTGATCATGGGTCAAAAGTAAGGAGAGATAACTGACAAGATGTTGGAGGATTTGCTCCTCAACAGATCCCGAGCTCATTGACAAATATCTTTTATCGTAAGATAAGTACAAATACCCCACATATTGATAGCGGTGCCCTGTTGCGCAAAAATTATATACAATCGGAATGTTTGCGGGAGCAGACACAAAAATCTCGGGAGCGGATGGGAGCATGCGGTAATGGTTAGAAATTCAGCGAGAGCGGGATCAACAAGCCCCGCGCTATCACGCATTTAAAGAGCGCAGTCAGTCAGTGAGCGCCGTAACACATGACGTCTATAAATAAACTACACAGAACCCCACTATTCGGACAAATATACATAATGAAAAGATGATACAAGATTTAATACCTTGGAAAATGGCATTTAAGACTTTAATACTTATTAAGGGCCTTAATTTTCTCTAAATTGATTGATCAACTTTTAATACTTTTTAAGACCCCGCGGACACCGTTATTACAACAACTACTACTACTCAACACCAGTTGAACACCACTGTTCTAGAATGAGTAAAAGTGTGTGTGTGTACCATGCATGGCGTGTTTCTGTCCAGACAGCAGTTTGACCAATGCCCAGAAAGCATCTTCCTCATTCATATAGATGAGTAACAGAGCAGTGATCTGACTCATGCCCTGACAATAGCCCACCTCCTACACACACACACACACACACACAGAAGAGAGAGAATCCATAGTGTGCAGGTTCTTTCCACACATAAATCAAGCGCATGCACATACTCATAAAAATGATTGCTACTGAGGTAGCATTTTAATTCAGTATTGTGACGTCAACTGGAATCAACATGGCAATATTTGTGGGCATATTTTACTCACCGTGTTATATACAGAATATGCTGTGAGCACATGAAACAGATCCTGCTGTCTGAAACACACAAGCACACACAAAACTATCATGGTCAAATAATCAATTCTGTTTTTCTGCTTCATATGTCATGGGTCATTAGGTTTAGCACATTTTTGCATGTTGTTCATTGCTTTTTTTTTGTTCTTATGGATGTCTAAGGCCACACTGTAATAATGATCTGACCCTTTCAAATCTCCACAGGTAAATGTCACATCAGTCAATATGGGCGCTTTAGCTCTGTCACAATTCAATACACCAATAACTCGAAGAGAAATGGTGGGGTGTGGGCGTTTCTCTCTCTCTCTCCATTGCGTTCTCAACTTTTCCATTTCACATGCTGGTTAAATGTAGCAGCTTTATGGCCATGAGAAATGGAAGCATCTCCGAGGAGAAATAAAAAATGTATTTTACACAGACACAGATTAAAGCCCTACATAAAAAAGCCTCCATCAGTAAAGCAATTCAATATTAAAGCCTGATAAAACACCACAATTTGCTATTAAATGGTTGGATATTTAACTGAATTAATTCTTCAGAATACATAAAAATAAAATAAATCAAAACAAAACTAAACCAAACAAATTTCAACTAAAACAAATCAACAAAACACTAAATGTTTGAATACTTCAATAACTTGTTCAGAATAAAAACAAAAAAACAAAACGTTTGGATTCTCGACCTGAGAATAAAAAAAACACACAAAAAAACAAACAAAGAAATAAACTTAGCCTCTAATTGAAGCAAATAATTTGTTTATTTTATTTCTGTAATATAATGGATATTGGTTGG